TCGTTCTGAATCCAGAACGGCCCGTTCTAACACCAGAACAGACCGTTCTGGTTTCAGAACGGATCGTTCTGGTTCCAGGTGTATTCATAAAATTTGTCGTCCACCTATGCATCTATGTGGCATCCACCTGGCATCCACGTGGCCAACAGTTAATTCCGTTTAAATTATTTGGACGGAAGTCCCAAATTGCAATAATTTAAATTATTGGGGACCAAATTGAAACAAAAAATTAAAATGAGACTAAATTGAAACAAAAAAATATTATAAGGGACCAAATAAGGGTTTTAACCTAAAAAAAATTATCTCAAATTTGAGTGAACAAATATTCAAGCCTAACCTGTTTTATGACTATAGAAATTTACACATGATATTTGGATGAAGATTTTTTTATTTTATTTTTATACTTAAAAAAAGAAATAAAAATAAGACACATGTAATAAATAATATCATATATTTCTTTAAAAGTATAAATATTTATTTTATGTGTATTATTTTATTTCATTGTTTTTTAAAATGTATAATAATACAAGTAAGAAATTCTTGGAAATTCCTTTTGTATCTATTTTATTGAGAGGGTTTTAGTGTCCCTTCTAGAATTATTCAATGACGTGTTGACACATGAATTTCATCAATATATTTAAAAACTCGACTATATCTTCTCACTCTAGGATTGTTAACCCAAATGTATTTAACTCATCATACCCAATTGTTTTGAAATCCAACAATCAAAGTGTTTTTTTCACCACTTTGTGAAGTCTTCTTGTCCAAACCATAAATATTGGTAGTCGCAGTTAGCTCATTGATGACTCTCATCATGTTGAAGTCTATGAGAGTCATTTTTGACACTCTGTCCAAGGTAAGCATTTGTAGTCTCCTTCATCTTGATTAAGACCATGGAGGAAATCTCTTTAACAACAAATTACTTCTTTGTGCCTTTGCAACTGATAATGATCATGGGCTTGTAAGCTAGATCGACGTCAACCTTAAAGGGTGAGTGCTTCATGTTGCTCTGGACATAAAGGTGGAGAATTTTGTGACCAATGAGGTGCTTCGCGTCGAAAATAGTGTTTTATGGGTTCATTGCGACCTGGTTCTTTGTTGCATCTCTTATAAGGTGCTCGATGTCGGTATTGGATCGAGCGCTTATTACTAGACCAAAAATTATAGTTGATAATAAAGACACAACTCTTTCTACTTAACTGTAATAGTCTAAGTACCACATGTCTCGATTTTGACTTGATCTACATAGGCTTCTATCAAGAACAATTGATGTTACCCAACAAACAATCTCTCTCTCAACAATTGCTTCTGCTAAAAATTGAACATGTGCCCTTGACTTTGATACTAATTGTTGAATCGAACGTCTACCACCAGATTAAAAATTATAATTAATAGTTAGGATATAACTCTTTCTACTTAACCATAATCGACCAAGTATCATGTGTCTCAACTTTAACTTAATTCACTTAGGTCTCTGTTATGGGATAATTGATGTCACGCAACAAACACTGTACATTTGCATAAAAATCATGCCATTGAGTTTCATAAGCAATCTAGTATAATGAGTTTAGTATATTGGGTTAATGGTTTATGATTCAATTAAATTTTCAAACATGTAGGTGAAGTGCATAAATGATCTACGTGTCAATACACCATCAATCAATATTAGAAGGGTACCAAAACTCCCATAAGACACCAAAGAAATTTTCAAGATTTTTTTTTATTTGGATCAACTTTAGAAATATGTAAGAATATTTTTCACTTTAAATAATAAAAAATATAGAATGTATTTTAATGTAATTTTGAGTTTAATGTTTAAAAATGTGTTTTTAATGTGTTTTTTATAAGTTTCAATGCTTTAAGTACATTGAAATTTAAAAAATAACTTATTCAGCCACACAATTAATCATTGAACTTACGATAAACTCAAAGTTATATAAGAGTAGATTTTTTATATTTTCTTAGTCAAAATTATGTTTTTCATAACGAGATACATGACCATGTCTTCCATCCTGATCTCCACTGCATGTTGAATGTGATGTGAATCATGTTCTCTCAAAAAAAAAAAAAATTTCTTTTTTCTTTTTTCTATTATTTGAATACAATGAAAATTCAAACACGACTTAAAACATGAAATCAAACACCATAAGAAAGAACAACACATTGATGCAATGACAACCATTCATGGATTTATCATTTATGACAATTTGTTTTTTCACTTTCCTCCTATCATTTATTGTTTTAGGTTCTTAATATTCGTGTACGTGGATGATAACTATTAGTTGAGTAAAATTTTTGTTAACTAATGCCTTATAGGAATTAATATATATATATATATATATATTATAAAAGAGTGTGCCGTTAAATTTTTAATATTTTTTTTATTTTTCATTCCTTAAGTAATGTTCTTAAAATGAAAATACTAATATTTTAAGCATTTTTTAGTTTAGTGTGTCTGCTTATTCTTTCTGTCTGTTTGGACACTTATTCATTACGTGCATTTTTCAATAAAATCATGTGAAATAATAAAAAGACGTAGAAGTAACATTTCGTTGTTTCAAATGAACCTAATAGAGAGTGAAATATGTATTGCTAATTTATCCAAACACGCACTTTATAAATACACATCATTATAATTTTTCAAGTAAAGTTCATAAAAAGACGCAGAAATCAATTATATTTAGTTTGATGTAACGCATGCCAAATTTTCACAATGTGCAGCCATTCACACTGATAACTGACTGAACCATGTTTTTTGGTTGCAATCTCATTTTCTTTGATATTTATTTTAGCCAATAAAAGTCCAAAATAACTCATACCATAAAAAAAAAAGAGAGAATAAAACTCATTTAAAATTGACACAAACAATTCATATTTTACACTTCAAACAATTAAACTAACTCGAGTGGACTTCTTTTGGTCATTTTTGGTGACTTAATTAGTTTCTTGTATCAACGTTTGTCGTATTTGTTAGCAGAAATGATGAAAGAAAAACGTAGTGGGCTAAGTTTCAGCCCAAGCCTGATGGCAGGCCCAGTCCATTACTTGCACTCCAAGGACATCGCCATGACGTATGAGGCATAGAATCCCAGAAACAGAAGAATATTCCGTTGTTTCTTCAAAATAAAAATAAATAAAAAAACATTTTATTACGGCAAGGGTTTGCGTCTGTGATTCGTGTTGTACCTAATCTCAATCCGTTTCTTTTCAGTCTCTGATCCAATTCTTAGATCTTCCGGCTGTTGCTATCGTCAACTAATCATGGTTCTTCACAGAGAACTCGACCTTCTCCTTTCATCCTCTTTCATTGAACCTCCCAAAGGTAACTCTTCTACTTTTTCTTTTCTTTTCTTTTTCTTAAAATGCAGTTATTATTTTCAAATTTGCGTGCTCCTGGAGCTGCTCTTATGTTTATTTAGTTTTAATAATTGAATTTTGCTTGCTCAGATCGATGTTCGTTTTTGTAGTTAAATTAATTAGTAATTTTGTTGAAAATGATTAGATGGTGCGAAATCCAGTGGCATGTCTATTGAAAAGAAGATAGAGTTCCTCGAGAGCTTGACTGGAAAGGTTGGCATTTACACCCACCCACTGATTGTGTACATTCCATTTACAATTATACTTATTTTTAGTTGTGTCTTAATTCCTATCGCTGATGTCTCTGTCAACTTTCAACTCTGATATTAGTGATATTGGCGTTTCATTGCGATTTGATAGGGAAATTTGATGGAATTTGAGAAGCTGGTTAATGATGTCTTATGTTTTTTTTGTTCCCGGGCTAAATATCTGTCTACGTTTATGAACTTGTAAAATTTTACAATATTTGGACATTTGGTAATCACATTATGAAACCAATGAGTTAATGCAGTATTCATTAAGAGGCAAGGTGTTCTATGATTGAGTGGTTTATTTTTTGATGGATGATTGTTTAAATGAAACAACTCTAATCATTAATGTTTTCTCTTTGAATATTTTAATTTGAATGGCTTAATTGTTTTCATATTCAAATCCTTTTAGCAAATGAACTTGCTTATATTCTTGTAATTTAAAATGGTAGATATAGAAGCATTGGCTGGCTGCAAGTGAGCAATTGTTTGTATGCCTTGATTGTTATGTCAAAGATATACCGTAGGGTTTCTCATTTCTTCTTTTTTGTTTATATTGTATGTGGGTCTCCTATGAGCTGATACTTGCTAATTGTTGTGAGTTTCATATTTTTACTAACTCTGAGTGATAACAATCACAAGACATGTGTTTTCTGATTTTACTATTGGGTAATGAATTAACTTGAGACCGATTTTACCTGTTTCAGGTCACAAATCGAAGGTCCCGTAGGTGGTTAAATGACCGTCTCTTGATGGAACTAGTACCACGTTTAAATGCAGAGGAAATTAGAGGCTTGTTTGCTCCACCACCTTGGGGTATTTATCTGGACCATCTGCTGTATGTGTGTGTCATTCATTGAATTCATGGATGCTCTGTTTCTTCTTTGCTGACTATGATTGCATTTAGGCAAACAGAATTGAATTCTTCCATGCAAGAGTTATTACTATAATTACATGGTTTTCTTTTTTAGCACAAGATTTATTACAAGTGTGTGGAAATTAAAGGGGTCACATTCAAAATTTACATAAAATCTGTAGGACACTTTGAAAGTCAACTTACTTTGAACTTCCAGTGATATTTATTATAAATTTTTAGTCATTTTTTGATCTATTATTTATTTCCTTCTTTTTTTGTGTCGGCTGATCTTTCCCTTTTTGTAAGTTAATAATGATTGGATTCATTTTACAGGTGATGAAGTTCCTCCTTCTACATTTTCCATGACTGACATGGAAGAGTGGGACAGATTCAGGAATATAGACATGGATAAAGAGGTTACATTTATAATTTACTTCTCTAATTTGTATAAACTATCTTCAATTTTTTTTACTGTTTAAGAAAGTAATTTTGGTCAACCCGCTATTGGATTAAACATGCAATGACAACATTACTTTTTGAATTTTGATTTGCCTGTGATCACCAGTTATAACTTCAAACTTTCCCACTTTTCTTTTGCATTTACTTGAAATGGGTGTCACTTAGGTTGTGATTTGTGTTTCCGTTATTATATTGCTTGAGACCCATGTACTGCAATCATGGCATGTGACATCATGTATATTTGAGTGGTTTGTGTTGGGATGTAAACAAAGTTTATAAAACACATATATTCTATTGGTTGAGAAGCTTTTTGGGTGATGACCAAAAGCAAAACCATGAGAGTGAAAACCTAAAGTAGATAATATCTTATCAATGTGGAGAAGTGTTTGCAAATACACCCAATAAATAAATAGAAATAACCTCCTCTTGATAAATATACTGTCCCTTTCACACAAATACAAAATCATAACCCTAACAGTGTGGGTATCATGTTCATCTGAAGTTACGTGTGATTGTGTGTATGCATGAGGATTGAGATTAATTTAGATCAAGGCAAAAGTATAACCTCGCTTATTACTGATTGCTGGGTTGGCATATGTTAATATAATGGTGTTTTATTTATATCTTCACCTGGTGTGGTGACAACTGACAAGCATCTCATAATATGTTGTTTGTTTTGGTAGGTTAATATAATTCATGCCCTGGAAAATTCTGTCGGAAAGAGGAAAGGTCACATTGATGCTGACAAGTTGGCAGTGCTGAATGGTTGGCATAGAGTCGACTGTAGAACAAGAGAGGCACTTCGCCGCAGTTCTCTTTTTGAGCTCATTGAGGGTTATGAGGTATAATATTGGATTAATGATTTGTCCCTCTTCTTCACCAAGTTATCATGTCGGGCAGGAAAGGGGCTGTTAAACTATTGATGCTCATGCTTTCCATCTGGTGTAACTAATTAGAAAAATGCTTTTTGGCATTTACGTGTGGAACCTTTTATTTTAGGAATGTGTACGGGCCTTCATAACAGAAAGCACAGATGGAGATGTTCTTGAACTACAAATTAAGGATCCTTTTCATAGATTGTTACTGCATGGAGTTTGTGAGGTAATATAACATGCTGATCCATTTGTCAATATATGGCGAAAATACTGTGACCGCAAATAGAAACATCCTGTTCAGAGAAAGCCTCTATCGATGTGCTTTCACCTGGAAAATATTCTTTTGAATGTTAGAGCCAAACACCATAATTTATTGATTTATTTTTAATAAAAAAAACCAACAGAAAATGCTTTACACGCCAAAAATCAGATCATATTTTCCATAAGGATATTTTCCATCCCACAAACTAGTACTCATTTTTGAGAGTGTACCTAATTTAGATGGTTACTTCCATTTAATTTTGTCTTGACGAATCAATATCCAGACTAGTTTTACTCTTGTTCGCTAACCTGTGTATATAATTTTAAATTTTGTCGAATATTATGTCAACAGTTCTACAATCTGGCGTCGGATACAGTGACAGATTATAATGGCGTGGAGTCGTCAAAGATGACAAAGATAAAGAAGAAAAAGGGTTCTCCCGTGCTCCCAAATATCACCCTGTCCCATTTTCTGAAGATGTCCAAGGAAGGAAGTTGGTAGTTTCAGTGTTGTCCATAAAATAAAACCTGAACCCTAGTGTTGTCCCAGGATGAACAATGTACAAGATTTAGTATTTTTTCAGAATATCACTGTAAATTAGTTCGATGACCTGTATTTTAGTTGGTTGATACTTGATACCATGAGTCAACGCAAGTTGTTGATTGTTGGTTTACATTGTTGTAGCTGATTATTCTGATTTCAATAAATACCAAGTATATCTCATTGTTCAATTACAGAAATACATGTCCATCTATACAGATAAAAGTGATATTAAAATCACAATATAGATGATCAGGGTTCAAATTGAATATTAGAGTAGTTTATCTACACGATGAAATTAGTATAAATTAATGGATTATTTGTTGTCGGGAAAGAATCAAGGCAAGTGACGAAGAATAGATAGTCGGTTATATTTAGTTCAAAATTATGTACTGTTAGGACTTATACAAAATAGTTGTTTTTGAATGTGAATTACATAAACTTAAATAGGTTAAAATGAATAATATTAGTAATAATATTTGTTGAAAAAGTTGTGGGTTTTACTAAATAAAAATGTATGTATTTAATAAGATTTACGTGAAATTGATTGAATAATAAAAAATGTGCTATAAAAAAGTGATTCAAGTATTTTGAAGATATTACTTGCTTATCCTTTGAAATTTGATATTTATAATTATGTATTTGCAACCAGGGGCTTGTCTTATTTTACAAATTTTAGAAACTAAAGTTAAATTTGAACGATTCCTTTAATTTCATAGACGAAGGTGAGAGTTTACTCTAATTTTTTAGCATGGCAGTAATGAATCAACATTTTCTTTTCGGCCACCCATTTTCCGATCTTATCAAATAGAATGCTTGCATGAAACGGTAGTAAAAAGGCTGAATATTTAACTATTATTTGATCGCAAATAATTTAATTACAAGATGGAATAAAAAAATTGATTAAAAATTAGGTGGAGTAAGGTGTTGACTTCTTGAAAAATTGTAATTATTGAGTTTATAAATCGCAATAAAACACGTTGGTGGCGGCTGTGGGACATGTTGGAGCTTTGACCATTCTTAGCACCGAACACATCTGCACGCATATCAATGGCACAGAAACCCGTGAAATACTCTCTGGTATGTTTGTGACCGAACTCAGTTTGTTCATTATTACAAAGCTAATGTGCATTAGATTATGTGCTTAATTTGAGTTAGATAAGCAGGTGGACGTATTTGCTGAGTCAGTGTTCAAGGGAAACCCTGCAGCAGTTTGTTTCTTAGAAGATGAGAGGGACAAGAATTGGTTGCAATCAGTAGCAGCGGAGTTCAATTTATCTGTCACATGTTTCATATCTCGCATCACCGAGTCCCATCACAACCTTAACTCGCTCCATGGAACCTCAAATCCACGTTTTAGTCTCAGATGGTTTACTCCTGTTACTGAGGTAAAATATAGACTTCGCAAGAATGAATATTTTCATGATCATTATTATGTTGACTTATTATCTGGACAACCCTTGTGCAGATTAACCTTTGTGGCCATGCAACCTTAGCTGCTGCGTACACACTATTTTCATCTGGTTCGGTGGAAACCGATGTAATTGAATTTGTGACGCTATCTGGAGTATTAACTGCCAAAAAGACAAGTAACACCGCTAGTGCCTCAAACTTACACAAGGGTGATGAAGCTACGCGTGGATTTTATGTTGAAGTGAATTACCCTGCTGATCCTGTTATAGAATTCAACTCTGATGAGACTTCACAAATTTCTGGGGCTTTGAACGGTGCTTCCATAATTGATATAAAGAGGACACAAATGGGAGATGACTTACTTGTAATTTCTATATCTGCTCTATTCCATTTCTATTATTGTCTAGTAGACAGAAATTAAATCAATATAATATAACATAGTACAGATCAAAATATATTATATAACCTAGTGATACCGCTGTATGGTGAAGACCTTTTTCACCATTCTTATTTTTAGATGCATCCTCCATAATATCTGTTAACCTGCTTGATTCTTGAAATAAGAACGATACATATCTCATGTTACTTTACTTTTACCTGCAAAATAACAAGTATGTGTTTTAAGAAATTTGTGTGCAATGAACATGATGAAACTTACAATTTTTCCTAGGTTGTAGTCACATCCGGAATAGCTGTGGAAGAACTACAACCACAATTAGATGCAATTGTTAAATGTCCTGGAAGGGGGATAATTGTTTCTGGGGTTGCTCCTCCAGGCTCGGGATTTGACTTCTATAGCCGATTCTTCTGTCCAAAATTTGGAGTCAATGAGGTAAGGGGCTGAGAATTTTTATTTTAAAATAAAGTGGTAAGAATTTGACTTTATCTTCAAGACCTTTTGTTTGTTTTATCCTACAAATCTTCAGTTCTCTAGTAGATCTGAGGTCAAGTGTCAAGAACAAGCAATGCATCATTTTAAATTATATTAGAAAAAAAAAATTAACTGAAGGCACATAACATTACTATTAACACCTAATTATACAAGGTCTGTCTAGAATAGTGAAGGATATTATGGAAAGCAAGTCCAATCTTCCATTTCAGTTCAAGATATGAAGTGAGATAATGTGAAATAACCCGGTTCCTTTCAGGATCCTGTATGTGGGGGTGCACATTGTGCATTGGCACCCTACTGGAGTAAGAAGCTAGGGAAGTGTGATTTCAATGCTTATCAGGTACTCTCCTTCCGTCGTTTGGGACTAAGGATAATATTATCTGTGTCACTGTCATACTAACATGTAGATTACATTTGTGCAGGCATCAGCAAGAGGGGGAGTTCTGAATGTTCATTTTGATGAGCCGAACCAAAGAGTGGTTTTGCGTGGGAAGGCTGTTACAGTGATGGAAGGGTGTGTTCTGGTCTAGTCCTGTTCTTAGCATTGCAGAGTCTGTAATTGCACCAAAGTATCAATAATTGTAACTGAAGTACTGAACTGTTGCGATACTTTATTTTCGTCACAAAATAAACCTGTGTTTAATATACACAAACATGGGTGTACAATAAGTTAAGGTGAAAGAGAAATATACGTGGGTAGCAGTTAAATATTCGCCAGATGTTATTGATTTGATTTTTCTTCAATAACTTGCTGTAAAAATTTCTATGATTTTGATAAAAATACGATTGTTTTGTTAAATTAATTGAAATTTTTATAGAAAATTTATTTTTTTTCTGTATTTTAATCCAAATTTTGTTTTATATAAAAACCTTAACTCACTCCATGGAACCTCTAATAATCCCCGTTTTTGTCAGATGGTTTACTCATGTTAACAAGGTAAAATTTTGTCACACTCACCACACAACAAACACAAGCACTCCTTTGTTTTTTTGGCAATAGTTGGACAGAATGAATACCTTCATAATAATTAATAGCTTCCATTTTCATATACATCTGGTAATGAAGTTTTTACTAATATTGACTCATTAGGGCCTCAAACTTGCAAAATGGTGTTGCTCTGGATGAATTTTATGTTGACATAGATCTTCATGCTCACCCTATTATAGAATTCAATTTTGATGAGACTTAACAATTTCCGGGGCACTGAATGGGGCTTCCATTATTGATATAAAGAGGACACAAATTGGAGATGACTTACTTGTAATTCCTACTCTCTTTCGTTGTTATTTTTTATGCAACGCTAGTATATATTAAGCTGTTTGATCCTTGGAATTAAGAACAGTAGATAGTGTGTTTTGAACAATTAATTTACGCACATAGAACCTTATGAAGCTTTATCATTTTCCTATTTGGGTTGTAGTCGCATCTGGAGAAAATGTCACAGAAGTACAGCCACAATTTGATGCAATAAGTAAATGTTCTGAAAGGGGGATAATTGTTTCGGGGATTGCTCCTCCAGGCTCAAAATTTGACTTTTACAGTCGGTTCTTCTGCCCAAAAGAAGGAGTCGATGAGGTAAGTGGCTAATTATTATTATAAATGTAATATAATGTTCCTACAATTGCATTGGCAATGTCTCCTTAATTAAACAATTAATGAAGACATCCAAGGTAAGATTCAGATCTTGATTTTGACCTCAATATTAACTGCCAATTCTTTTCTTTCCTGTTGTTTTAACCATATAGTCTACTGCTCTGCTTGCAGATCTGAGGTCAAGTCTTTCAACAAGCACATCTCAATTTTAAATTGAGTAAACGACCAAATTTGTCTTAAATTTAAAAGTTATTGTCATATTAGTCTTCGAAATTAAGAAATTGTTAAGTATGTTCTTGAAACTGAAAATTCACAATTATTAGTCCAAAATAAATAAATAAAATTGTAACTAAAGTAATAATATTAATATATATTTAGAAACTAAAGTGACAATAAATTTAAAGACTTTTTTGATATTTCAAAGGCTTATTAGTTTCAAAGACCAAAATAATAGTGCGTTTTAACTCAAGGTCAATAATGTTATTATTACTCCTACTTTTACAAGGCCCGTTGTTGGATCATTTGGATGAATGAGAGGATATTTATATAGAAGCAAGTCCTATATTCCATTTCACTCCTATATTTGACCATAGAACTAACGAGATAATGTTAAATAACTAGTATTTCATTTCAGGATCATGTGTGTGCGAGTGCACATTGTGCCTTGGCATCCTACTGGAGCAGGAAGCTGGGGAAGTGTGATTGTTGTGCCCAAAGTGTGTGGGTATTCTCCAAAGTCCCACGTTGGGTATTTTTGAAGAAGGGAGGAATGTTGTGCCTAAAGTGTGTGGGTATCCTCCAAAGTCCAGCAGTAATTTGAGTCTCTTTTGATAAAGATAATGTTGCTTTTTTATTCTGGTTCAATATTTTACACCTTTTTTCAGCCTCATAACTATTATGTTTTCATTTAGGAATAGATGGCCTGTATATTAGTGGTTGTAGCTAGTTTCCTTTTTAGACAAGGTGAAATGATTTAAGGATATAGCACGGTTTTTAGATATGACATACTCGTCGCCCACTATATGCTTCAATGGAATTTCTGATAAAGTGTCGCATAGTTGTTAGTTAATCATGCTCTTTAAGCATGTGGTTTAAAAAAATGCTTCAATAGAATCATTAACATTATTTAGACGACCCTTGTGCAGGTTAAACTTTGTGGCCATGCCACATTAGCTGCTGCACACACACTCTTTTCATCTGGTTTAGTGGATACCAATATTATTGAATTTGTAACGCTATCTGGACTATTAACTGCCAAAAGAATCCCAGCGGACAAAATCTCTAGAGCCTCAAACTTGCAAAATGGGGAAACTGAGGAAGGATTTTACATTGAACTGGATTTTCCTGCTG